ATGTTACTTCATCTTAAGTTTTTTTTTCTTCCTTCTAATGGTAGCATGAAGATTAATGTGAGTAACTACTTGTTACACTCAGACACATCCAGTTCACGAACTAAACACACGAAGCACCTAGATGAATAGATTTCATAACGACATTTTAGATACTCCTTCTTTCCACAAGCAATTCGAGACTGGAATGATTTGCTCAATGATGCCGTCACGTGCACTTCACTGGAAGCTTTTATCACCCGGATATCCAACTATGCTTCGTATTCATCGGCATGCGGGAAATATGTTTCATTCTCAGCGTCTTCATTACTGTACCTGTCTTTCTTGCTTTGATTTTTTACACTGCTGATATGAGTTTTTTGATGACTGCGTTTAGTTACTTTGATGATATGCGTTTTTGATGATGACTTCTCTATTTTTTATTTATTATGTTGGCCTCTATTGAAAAGATTGCACACTTTTTGTTATTACTTTTTTTTCAGCATTAAATTTTCTGACGTGCTATTTATTGCTGCTTTTACTATTCCCACTAGCATTTGTACAGTCTACTGGGGATAGTGTTTGTTATCTTCGGGTGAGCTCAACTTGTGTATCCGCCTTATCAAACTTTTTTCTTTTGAATATGTGTATCTTTCCCTTTCCTGCAACAGCCTCAAATTTGAGGCTAGCAGTACACTTCAAATAAAACAAAAATAATAATCACATTTAGACTCAAGCAGTACGATGCAAACATTATCATTCAATGTGACAGTAGAGAACGGGCCCTGAGAGAACATCTAAATAGTATGAAAGTGAACAGAATGGGCTGTATTTAACTCTATCGCAACATAGTGTCTCGTTCTAAGCATCAAAGGGGACCTGCGACATTTTTCAGGCGTGGTAAGGAAATGATGCCATTCTGTAGTCCAGGCTCCCAAGAACACGCGAGCCAAGTAGTATAGTGCTGTACGTGGCCTTGAATTTACAATAAATTGTCAAAGTCAGCTAAAACCGCTTTCTTTTCTCTTGACAAATGATGCTACATGCTCAAAAATCATTGACACAGGCCCAAGTATCGCGCCATTGGATGATTTCGGCACGGAGTGCACGGGAAATACCGGGGTCGCTACAGAAGAATGTGACATGTCTGCGCATGTGCACACTATCTCGCTGAAAAGCTGGGCGTTCGAAGGAGAAAAAAATAAGAGAGAAAAAATGCTCAAGGTCACGAGGCACGCCAGACATACCTTCTTCCCGTGTTTTGTCCCGCCCTGCTTAGCTTCCAGCTTTCTCGTCGGGACAAGAGAAGAGAGAAAGCAATTGCAGCGTTCAACAAATCTTTGTACCACTGCACATACTGGATGAATTCAAAAAATTTTTGCAGCTGTCAATTTATGAGGCAATCAGTTTCTTTAGTGCATACATTTTATGGTTACTTGGAAAAGTGCAGCAGGGCCCCTTTAAACAGACATCTGTTGTGTACAAGTACACGTATAACATGTACCACATAGCCTGCATGCCTTAACGTCAGCTTTTAAAGGGGCCCTGAAACACTTTTTGGAGTAAATATGGAAACAACTCACTGAAAAAGCGTATTACCTCACAAATTGAAAGCCGCAAAAATTTCAAGAATCCGTCCAGTATGAGCGGAGTTAGATAGATTTGCCACACGCTGCAATGACATCCTCTCTTCTCTCGTCCCGACGAAAGCACTGGAAGCTGAGCTGGGAGGGATTGGAGGAGAAAACAAAAATGTCACTCGCGCCTCCTGACTTTGAGCCTTCTTTCTTCTTCTTCTTTTTTTTTTTTTCAAATACGCGGCTTTTTGAGTGCGATCACGCGCGCACACGTGAACAAGTGACAGCCTCTTGCAGCGACCTCTGTAACAACTGAGCGCGCCATGTTCAAATCAGCCAATGGCCGATAGGTGGGCTCACTGGGCTTATTTTCCGTGATTTGTCGAGAGAAGAGAAAGCGATTTTTAGCTGACTTTGATAATTTGTGAATGCCAGGACGCGTGTTGCACTATAATATTTCACTCCCGTGTTGTCGGGAGCCTCTACAACCAATCGGTGGCGTTTTCTGACAATGCCCAAAAAGTGTTGCAGGGCCCCTTTAAGAGAGCTGTGGATCGAAAATCGCAGCTGTCTTCCAAAGCCATATTTTTGGTTTTATTTGCTTTGACAAGTATAGTTTCTCTACTTTCACGACAAGAAAGAAACTGAAGACTAGAATCAAATTCAAAGTAGGTTAAAATCGCTTTGAAGGAGCACAAGGTGGCTACTAAAACTAAAAGGAACTCATTTTCCGAAGTCCCCTAAATATTGTCGCCTGGCAACGTACCATTGCATTTCGCATGAGGAGTTCACGAAAGCCACATGGTCAACATAATCATGATTGCCATGATATCATGATGGAAGAAATCATTAAAAAAAACATATATTTCCCACATAGACGACCCACTTGTACCTTTAAAATGAACTTTTCTCATGATCCATTTTAGGGACACTTCGTGAGTTTAGAAATCATAATTTTGGTATTTCTGATAGCCCGATTGGAATGAAATTCTGCCCACATATTCCTTAACATGCAAAGAGTGCAAGTATATTTTTTAAAACTTGAAACGACTTGTATATTTATCGCAAATCTAAAATGAAGAATTAGCGATGGCTGAGAATTCTAAGAATTTTAACATTATGACTTTTCTTGTCCAATAAAGTGTCTCATATGCACTTTCTTGATAGTTATTTGCATTTTACAGTTAACGCAGAGCAATATGGGGCATTATTGACTGAGAGCAATAAATGCTTAGTGGAATAAAAAGTTTGTCCGAAACCGACTATACCTTACACATTGTCGTGGCATAAAACTAAGACTTGTAACTAACTATAAAACTAACTACATATTTGAAAGCAGCATAAAAGCATATATATCTATAGCAAAAATTTCTAGCCATAGGCTTCAGTTAAACGCAACTTTTTTTTTCCCAATCGCATCTCCCCTTGAATGACACTGATGACCAAAGACCGGATTATAGGCAAATGCATATTTTTCTCCTTGTGTTACTATTGTGTCACTTTAATATATGAGCATGAATGACATGTCAAGAATAGCCTTTATAGTGTTTTTAAGGTGCCTATAAATGTCTATTTTTCCCATTTGTGCCCAAATTCCCATAAGTGCCTATATATCCTTATTTTTATAATCGATGCCTATATGAACACTATTTAACCTTAAATTTTTCTTTCTAGTACAGTAGGATACCGGTGCTTATGTTGCCAGGCCAAATTGAGCCCTTGGAATTCTATGGGGTGCAACCTTTACCCCATCTTTGAAAATCCTTCAAGCACTGTCAAGGCTACAAGGCCCCTTCACCAATAGGAAGGCGGATTAGCCTCTACACATATAGGCCTATCCATTCGCATCGCATTGTCTGCTCGCCATCTCCACGGCGCCTGCTTGCACGTGCAGCAAACCAGAGGTGTTTCCGTGCAGCCACAGGATGAAGGAGAACGAATGCAAACCGTAGAGTGTCATCAACGAAAAATAGAGTGTAGGCAAAAGAAATCTAATGTCCACGTGGTTTTCCTTTTGCTTGTCTCTTACTTATTAAGGGGCCCTTCAACAAGTCACATAAGAATTTTATTTACATGTTGGAAGTTGTCGCATGCACAACAAAAAGCTCTGTACCACAAAAAATTTTTCTTTGGTTCATTATGATCCACAAAAGCATGATGTCAGGAGATAATCTAGAAGCCTTTTCCACTCGTCTCGTGTAGACTTTGCAAGCCAAACTCCTTCCCTGCTCCTGGAGCCAGAATATCACGCGAAAAGACGCATCAACACATCATGCGCCCGCAAAGTTACATTCACATGACCTGCCCAAGCCACATTCGCATGATAAGCTTAAGTGCACGCAAGCGGTGTTGAGTCACTTCGGCCTTCTCTGTATTTTACAGCCTGTTTCTGTGAAATGGATCGCTCTATACACGCATGTTTCGAGATGTTCGCACAGATAATATATTCATACCACGATACACAGCGTCACACTGCTGGAACTGCTATAAGGGATGATGGACAAGAAATACTGGAAGCATTGTGAGGCCTGGCACCGGCACGTCGGCGAGAGCACTGACGTAAATTAAATGAAGGCAGCTTACTCTTGCATCTAGCTCAATTCAATGTTAAAAAAAAGAAAAAAGTGAAAAGATTCTGTTTGTATGTTTTAATATTTCTATCAACCATCATACTTCAAGTAATAGATTGCACAAATTACACACACTGCTTCAAATAATTCTCTTATTGTCACATACTACTTTGACGTACGCAGGACAATTCCTTCTAGGGGTGCACACCCACACGATGAAGAGCAAGTGGCATTCAGTCAGACATTCAACTTTTACTGGAGCGCGTAGCGTTGTAGATCTTGAAAAATGAGATTGTGAGTGCCCAGTGCAAACATTTCTCTTGCCTGTTCGAAATGCTCAAACCTGGCAACGGACGCCTTATAGTGTTCAGAGACGGAGAAGAAACTGATTGTGTGCGATTAGACCCCATTCATCCCTAAATGATCCTTCTAGCTTATTAGTGATCTGGCTATATGCTCCTGGGCTGTCCTTCTCAGCCATGCTGAAAAGAAAAAGACCCAGAAGCGTGTTCATTTGATGGTGAACCCTCAACTCACCACAATAGACAATAAAAGGAGAGATCATGTTCTGCAAACCCTGCGGGAAAATAATTGCATGAATATGCTCAACTATTGATGCCTTTGTACAATCATTGACTAAAATGATTCTTTTTGTTTTCCTCTAGTACACACACGTCCTGCACGTAATTATTTGAAAATTTAAACTTCTGCTAAAGTTTACTGTGCCTATATTTGCGGTTTTGGGGGCCTGAAACTGTGCTTTGCCTGCCTATTTTTAGTAGTGCCTATAAATCTGGACTCTACTGATGACAGGCATTCAAACCAGATGAGAGAAGAACTTGAGCACCGCTTTACAACAGTGGCCGTAAGCACTCACCGTGTTGGGCACATAAGGGACGCCATAGTGTTGGCCCTGCAGATCAGCCAGCACCTCTGTGGTGCTCTTGCCCAGAGGGTGATGCGCGTGGTACCGCTGATCGAGCAAGGCGTAGAACACCTGCAGCTGCGTCTCGCTGGCCGCAAAGTGGTAACGCATCTGGCGCAGGGACAGCGCCATGGCGTACGGCATGGGCTCACCCGTCTGGTAGTGGCGGGCAAATGTCGACACCACCTGTGTCAACACCCGAACAGCAGAAAACGCCCGAGTCAACTCGTGCTTCAGTGGGGCATCCTTGGGTATTCTGAAATGCTTCTCGCATCGCCTTACAAGCAGCTGAATGCGCAAAGTGATGGTGTTCCGCACCCTCTAGTTTTCGCAAAAGTGTCTCGTACCTGCACCAGTGATTTAGCGAGTGAGTGAGACAATGTGTAGCCAGGTCTTGATTTACCAATGATTTCGCAAGTTCGAGAGAGGAGAAAGTCTCACAACAGATACAAGGAAGCTTGTCTCGACCTGTCCACTTAAATGGATAATAATATTATTATCCGGCATTTAACAACCCAAAAGCACAATGGGGGAGGTGGCAGTGGAGGGCTCCAGAAATTTTGACCACCTTGTGTACTGCTACGTAAGCTGTAATAAATTACTCCAACCCTGTAAACTTTGGCTGTGAGCATAGCAAAATTTTCGGCGCGAAGCTAATTCGAATATGGAAGTGTGAGTGTGAATCGAATAGAATATTTTTAGAATATTTCTCAAATATTTCTAGATTATTTTCAGTACTTCAAGGCGAAATGGCACAAAAAGAAAGCAGGAGAGAATTCCTAAGCACATTCTTATCAGATAGCAACATGAAAAATGTTTCTTTTGGCTAACTTGATGAAGTGCTTTGGAGGTGGTGTTTCATAGTTTCAAGGTGGAGGCAATGCAGAGACCGAGGTGTGTTTATGTACATGATCTGGTGCAACTAATGTGTTGCTGACAACACTTTAAACATGAAAGGAAAAGATCCTATTCCTCGGCCTGTCTTCTTTTTTCAACTTCTGTGACGGACACAATCTGCCTGTACATGCAAGAACATCTGAAATTTCAGATGCTAACAATCTTCGACGCCCGATTTGTCGGACTTCCTGCCGACATTTCCGATCCAGGAGAGCTTAATAGAGCCCGCACCTCTGCCAGATTTATCATCTCCATGTTGGAACAAGCATCTTCTTGAGGCAATAAAACTGCGACCATAGCAGAGCCTGAAAGGTAGCTTTTCAGTAATACCATAATGTAACAGGCTGAAGCACAATAAAAATCTGAAAGGGCCGCTGCCTATTGGGCGTTTCTAGTACTTGTCTCGGGGAAGTTCAAATAGTTCGAATAGTAAAATTCCAGTGCAGTGATGGAAGTGACAGTTTGCTTTTTGGAGCAGATTCTGGAGCAGAAAAAATGGTGCTTTAGAACAGCCTTAAGTGTCTTTGGAGCAAAAAAAAATGCTATTGGTGTTTTCGGAACAGATGCATGTTCCTAACAACTCCTGAAGTCTAAAACATCACTTAGGCATCTAATATTGATATTTTTATTAAACATGCCGTACGCTAGTATGCAGCTAGTATACAAGCAGTATAGTTGATGCAAATTATGGGTCGGGTGGGGTGGGGGGTCAAGAAAATCCAGACTTTTCTGTTGTTCAGGCTGGGGAGGACACTCCTTGCAAGTGTCCCCCTTGAAATTTAGCTTTAGCACGTGATATAATTGAGTTACCAGTTAAGTATAGCGCAATCAACTTTTAAAAAGGCTTTCACCTGTACCTGTGTTAAATGCCCCTCAGCTGTGTGAACTATAGAATCGAAAAAAGGAGAAAAAATGAGACTGAATAGAACAATGCGATTGCTTGAGCTCGGACCCCATGCTCGTTCTTTAAAATTTTATTTGAAAGCATCATTTAATTCTTACATAAATAAAAATACAACCCATATTCAAAATATGAATTGGACGCCATACCCTGATATGAGTCACCACTTGAGATTTTTCTGGGTTTACACCACTGAGTAACATACTAGGATGATAGTGTATACAGCATGCTTTTGATTTCGCTTAGGCTCACGGGATGGTTCCATGGTTCAACTTCATTCTTTTTTGTTTGCCAATATCTTTACGGTGCAGGTTTGGAGCAGTTACTAGCAAATATTGTACAGTAAACTCCTTTTAAATGAAACCTGAAGGGACTAGGAAAATGCGTTTCCCTTAAGAGGAGTTTCATTTATTGAGAGATAAACAGGGGTATAATATTCAAGTATGAAACCAAACATATTACGGATAGTTCTTCCTTTTAAGCAGCAATTTCATTTAGGAGAGTTTCAATTAATAGGAGATACTGTACTTTGGAGCAGCATGGAGCAGCATTTCTCTTTTGGAACAGCTTGGAGCAAATGGAGCAGCACTTCCATCACTGCCAGTGGACATCGAAAACGCTATTAAAAATATTCTAAATTTTGAATATTCACACAACTTACTACAAGCTTCATTATGGCTGGAAAGTACTTCTAAGAGCAGTGTGTCACATTATGGAACAATAATGATTCCTCCGATGAACCACAAACCACTCGTGCACATTTTGCATTAGGCATTATTTTGTTATCTAATGAGTCAGTATTAATTTAGAAAATACCCCTTTTCCATGACGTGCCTAGTTACGTAAATTTTCTTATGAAAGTATTCAGGGTCTTTATAGGAGACGTGGATTACAGCACTTATTTTTCAACTTCAGAAAAGCAAAATACATAATTTACCACTTAAATATGTGAAATTGACACACTAATAACATCACTGCTTTAAACTGAATAAAATATTTGATGGTCCCTAAATTAGCAAAAACTGTTTTCACTAAACTTGTACAAGCGGTGCCACTGTTCCAGCTGGAGTGCCTCACAGCTTGGTATTAGGCTCTCGCCTAGTCTTTATATTGATTCAGAATACTTGCATTAAAACAGAACCATTATTTTAGATTATTCTTTATTAGTACATCAAAATTATTAGGAGCCTGAGGCCATCAATGCATGCACTTGAAGACGACTCTAACTGTTTATAGTTCTTAAATTAAACAGCTTCATATGAACAGGCTTCACTATACTAAAAAGAGCTTGCTATCCTGCAATGGGCCATTCTTTTTCAAATACACAATACAACATGAAAAATGTACTGAATACCGACAGCACAAGCACATCTGAATAGAGAACAGAAGTTTGATAACACGTATTACTTTTGATGTGATAAAAAAATATAGGAAGTTTTAATGAGGTAGTTGAGCAGATGGATTACCTACTCATGACAGTCAAATGACACTAATTTGTTCATTAAGTGAATAATTTAGATGCAAATATCAGTAAAAATTATTTTAAAAAGTTTTTTGAAATACTATCATTCAGAATAATCTTAATGCAAATATCAATAATACTGGTGTGTAAGTTAAAGAAGGTGAGCTGCATTATGGTTTAAAATTTGCCATAGAAAGCCCATATAAGTCCGCATTACATGCTCCTATAGATTAAAAAAAATGTTCAGGGTGCAAATATTATAGTGCACACTTAACCCTAAAGTATCACTTCGCAGCAGCACAAATGTTTCCTTTTTAAACTAATTAACTTTAAAACAACTTTATTCATTCATTCAATATTCAATACTGCAAACTTTATATAGGTCTAAACCGGGTGGAAAAAAGGTGCACAAAGCAAACATAAACCACATTTTCCTTGAAAGACGACTTCACGGAACTATAATCTCTCACTAAAATGAAACCACTTTTCAGATGGGTGGAATGCAGCAAAACTCAACCTTTTTTTTTTTGGGATCTTTTGAAATTTTGGAAATTTCAAACTCATGTCGAAGCTCATTCGAATACCATAATATTTGTTCAGATATTCGAAACCCTCAAAAATTCACACAAGCCGGCACGTTCTTACCCTTGGGTCGGAGGAGAAGTACTCCATGAGAATGGAAGGCACTTCGGCCAGGTCAGTGGCGCAGCGCGTGCCCGTGACATGCTGGTAGCGGGTGCGAGCCAGCATCGAGTGCATGGCATGGCCCATCTCGTGAAAGAGGTTGTCCAGGGATGATGGACTCAGCAGAGGTGGAGAACCCCACGGTGCACTGGCCAGGTTGAGCATCAGTACCACCACTGGAAGCTGGGAGTTGCGGCAAACGGAAACAAGACAAAGCTGACATTTGCAAATCAATAATAATAATAATAATAATAATAATAATAATAATAATAATAATAATAATAATAATAATAATAATGTTGGGGATTGAATGTCCCAGAACCAACATATCATTATGAGAGACATTGTAGTGAAAGACTCCAGAAATTTTGACCACCTGGGTTTCTTTACCACACCCTAAATCTAAGCACATGGGCCTCAAGCATTTTCGCCTCCACTGAAAATGGCAGGGGACTCAGAGCCTAATTTCAAGACGATTGTGAAAAAATGTGTGCTGGAGCACAAGGACATGCATTGAACACTTAGAAGCAGTGGTGACTGCAAGACACGCAACCTTTCATCTACGGTCAATGAGCTGACCATGTCTGCGCACTTGACATGATCAGCCGGTATTGATGAAAATTTGAGGTTATCCATGATGAAATTTCTCTTGAAGGGAGAGGTAATTATTCAGAATATGAATTGAGATAATTCCACTAATTGAAAGAGTGTTTACTTCGTTGGCTTGAATGAAGCCAGTTTTGCTCATCAAATGTGGATTTGTAGCTTTGATTCTTCGTCAAAGTTGCACAAAATAACTGTTGGTGGCCACTGCGGCAAAGAAGCAAAGATGGATATGATCCCCATAACGTGAATTTTTGCTAGTGTATGCAAATAATGGTTTTCATAGCGTTGACATGGAATACAATTTTTTTTCTTTTAGTCTGTTCTAACTTAAAATGTTCAGATTCGCCGTTGTGTGTGCCGAGTCAAACAGTGGCGTCGCCTTCGCTTGACATTTTGGCTGATGTTCATGAGCGGCAGCATAAAAATTGCTGCCTGAGAAACTAGTGGCACCTGCCTAAGATCTGGGAAAGCAGCAGAACCAGCTTTCTTGTAAGGCAGTAAAAGGACTTCACATGAAGAAAGCCATGCTGGAAAATTTTTTATATTCAAGAACAGTTGAGAACACCAAAATTAAGGTGCTTAAGCTCAGTTGCACGCATACCTTGAAAATTGAACACTGTGTGTAATGAATAGTTTGCGAGGAGGGCAATCAACGCCGCTATAACTTCTCAGTGCGACTGAAGTGGGGACTTTTCTAATTGGCTTCTCAGATGGAAACACTCTGCTCAAAGGGACACTAAAGGCAACTATTAAGTTGATGTTGATTGCTGAAATAGCGGTCTAGAAACCTTGTAGTGTAACTTTTGTGCCAAGGAAGGGCCTATTTTGGAAATAAAATCACCTTTTAGTGGTCCGCATTGGGTTACGGCACCTCAAATTAACCGCCTCAAGAAGCGGATCGACCGGACCAACTCACGTCACTGTTGCCATGCACAACGTTGCCCGACTTTACTGCGACTGAAAGCAGCGAAAGCCATCGCAGCAATAACGGCCACTGATAAATTTCCCGCCATTGGCTTTGAGATCGAAGACCGTTTTTTGTTTCAACTGCGCCCCGCTAAATGGCACTACACGTCCCGTGTAACCGTGCGAAAATTGAAATTTTGAACCACTCGTGCCCTTTCCCATAGTGACGTCTGGCGGTTCTTTTTTCCATGAACCAAACAGAAACGAACAAGCAGCATTCTATTGCGTCTCTCGATGTAAGGAAGATTCTTTATTTACTGCAGTTAGATTGATTACTAGTGATTAATCGTAGGTGGTTCGTCTGATGTTATCGGGATCATTTTGAAAATGTCCTACTACGACGCTTGTGTTCTTGTGCACTTACGTTAATTTCTCGGTAAGTAGGGCACTGTTGTTGATAATATTGTCATTTTAGATATTGTCATACCTTGAGCTTTCACTCTGACGTAAATTGTTATTTGACTTTAGTGTCCCTTTAAGAAATACTCGTGCCTTGCTCCAGACCAAGTTTTCACCACAAGATTTTCTTTCCAAAAAAGCTGCGCAGAATTCGGAGGCAGATTCACGCTACAGTAGGAAAAAAAGAATGCCACCTTTCTTTTCATAAACATACAGCTGCTTCATAAAACTCGTTTGAGGCTCTTTGCAGAGCTGCGTTACACAACTGTTCTGTGATTCACTGCAAGAATAGGTCGCCCACGTAGGCAGTATAAAGCATGGGCATGGGGGAAATTATCTTTAAGAAGCTGTTCACTAGGTCATTCACTGATTCAACCAATGAAATTTAGTCGTTGCGATTGATACCCCGAGGAAACCTGGGACTATATAATGCCACAATAGAGCACAAACTTCATTTGATATCATCAGTGGTTTTATGTGATAAAACCACGATATAATCACGAGGAACACCTTAGTTGAGTGCTTTGGATAATTTCACCACCTGGGGTTCTCTATTGCACACTAACATCGCACGAGGCACAGTCCACTAGCATTCCACCTCCATACTGAAGGCCTCATTTTGTCTCCCTGGGGTTCTAGACACACATTTTAATCAAGTACACCGATGTTCTTGCATTGGTACTTGACTAAAATGCAGCAGTGATGATTAACGGTTGAGCCTGTGACATGCCAATTGGCAGGAGAAACAATGCAGTGTGTGAAAACACCTTCAAGAAGACCACGAATAAAAATAAAGAATAGTATCTGAGATGTAACAATCCAAAACCGTGATATGAATATGAGGGACGCCATAGTCGAGGGCTCCAGAAATAGCGAGCATCTTTTTCAACAAGCACTGACATCGCACAGTACGTGGGCAGCCGTCGCGGCCGCCCCCGACCTTCGGGTCAGAGATGTGCACAGTGGGGCCTCACCTGATAGGATCCATCTGGCTGCACGCGTCCACCTTGAATGGTGAAGTGGCAGTCCTGGTTGGGCTTCTCTTGGCGCTCAAAGAAGTCGCAATAGATGTGGCCCAGCAGGTTGCCGCCCTCTTGCTCTTTCACGGCCTGGTTGCAGAAGCGTCACAGAAAAGGCAACAGGAAGGAGAACCACTGTCAAACAGGATGTATTAACGGGCTGGTTGCTGTGAAACCACAGTGCTTGTTAGTGCCAAACAGTAACATAAGACAGTACACAGGACAACTCAATGAACAAAAGTTGTCAGTTGAGGGTAGCGCTGTGTCATGTCTTCTGTCCTGTGCTGTCCTTTAACACTAACAAAGTACAAAGAAAGAAGCTCGTGTATTAAAGTGAACACAAAACATACGAATACAAGAAAACCCGAGAACTTGAATGATTACTGTGATGTCACAGTCAAACCAAGATCAAGCACAAAAGGGATTGCTTACCGTAATTACTCGAATCTAACGCGCACCTTTTTTCCGGTTAAGCGAGTTCATAAATCGCATGCGCATTAGAATCGAGTACGAACGAAAAAATTACGGCCAATCTATTGCCATCGGCAAATCCAAAATGGCCACCCCCTACGTGCGTTGGCATGGCGCGTCGGCCATTTCTGCCTATGTGTTTCCCATGTGCGGCACTTCGTACGTGTGCTGAGGAGTTCGTCATCTAATAGTGCATTAGCATCGACGGCGTGGAAGGGCCGACTCCAAAAACTCGAGTGCACCACGATGCTGCTTTTAACGACAGAACTGCTCCAAGTGAGGGCTATGCAATTAGTCTTAGAAAAAGGTCTAATGCAGAGCCACTTTAAAGCGAGCAGGTGCTGGCTAACTAGCTTTATGAAGAGGAAAGGCTTTTCCTCCGAAGGGGAACATGCATATGTGAAAAGTTTTGCGGAGGAGTACGATGAAAAGCTTCACAGTTTTCAGAGGTTCGTCCTAAACTTGCGGCGCAACAACGGCTACCTGTTTGGGCAAATCGGGAATGCCGATCAGACGCCTCTTTACTTCGACATGCCTGGCACCACAACCGTCGAGAAGGAGGCGAAGCAAGTTCCCGTGCTGACATCGGTCCACGATAAAGCTACAGTGACGGCAATGCTCTGTTACACATCAAATGGGCACAAGCTTCGCCCGTACCTCATAATTAAATGGAAGACGCTCCCGAAAGGAGTCGTTTTTTCGAGTGGTGTGATCGTGCGGGCCAGCGAGAAAAATGGGTGCGCGTTGCAATCGATGTCTTGCGTTTTTTTTTTTTTTTCGCTCTGGAAATCGGGTGCGCGTTACAATCGAGGGCGCGGTAGAATCGAGTAAATACGGTAATATAGTTTGATGTATTGATAAGTTGAAATACAAAATATGCTTAGCAGAAGCATAATCTAGAAACTCCACACATCTCAGACGATACCTTGAGATTCAACCGTTAGGCCTTTTATACTCTTGAATTTGTGCAGCAGCCGTGCCTTTACTGCCCCAGAGACCACACACAAGAAGAGGAAAGAAGCTAGTATACAATGTGAAGAGTGAAGGAGAACCCGGACGTTTTACTGCTACATAACTCCTCCTTGCCCAACCACCCTTTTTCCTCAGAAACAGCAGTCTACTTTAGCAGAATTTATTACAAAACTTCTGTTTATTGCAAAAAGGAAAGAACAAAGTTCATTACACTCGGTCCGCAAATGTTCCGTCCTGTGCCTCGCAGTCACAAAATGAGGGAAGACAATTCCAGCCTTGTCACAGCACGCTCATGCAGTGGCACTTGGGAGTGCTCAAAGCTAATAGTTTAAAACTAGGTTTGCCCTGCCAATCCACATGTTTATCACTTCAGTTGTGCTGACAGACATTGGCTGCCATTGCTTATGAGATAATTTTAAGGCAACTTTTTCACGTTAAGCTCTATCCGCACCATAAGAGGAATTAAAATAATGCTTAGTCAACCACGGCCACAGGGATTCAAACCTGTAACCCTGTGGCAACGTGCAGTTGTGAGCTGAACATGGGGAAACACTGCGATATCACATAATCTGGCACTTGAGGATTAGAAGCAGTTTAATGCCCCAAATAGACTTTGGAAGTGACAGTGCTTATGTATGGGTTTTACAAGCAACAAAAAGCAATATAGTCAGAACTTGTTATAATTAAGTTGCTTCTCACATTAAAATGACTTAGTAATCTCCTATATTCAATATAAGTGTATGTCTCTTACAGCGTATTATTTTTTGTTGCGATTTGTTTCACATTACCATAAATGTTGACTTACGTGACTATACCTTAACAGAGGTCTGAGAATGTGGTTAGCTGTTCAATAAATAATATCCTTAGCCATTTCTCGCATGGATTACAAAGTTTTCTGTTTACTATCAGAAATGACCTCTGCCTTCATGATGGCAAGTTAGACAGTGCCAATTTCATTCAGATTCTATATGATCAAAAAGATAAAAACACTGCATTGCGAATACAAAATAAACCAAAGCCAGACAAGTTTGCAGGAGTCAGCACGCATTGCAGTAAGCAGACTCTCGACATACCTAGACACATAACATGAAATTGGAGGACAGACAAGAGAGCTGACAGATCCACTGCTGCCAGTTCTGTCTATCACTCATTAGCATATCAGTTATACATCACTAGCAGTGACTACAGCTACAAGTAGGGCAGTGTTGTGTTAACTTTGAGAATTAACAGTGATCAATAACAAGCCCAACTTTCAATTCTCAGATGCTTACCAGCTTGACGACGTCTGCGTGCCACACCTCCCCAGCCTTGACGTCCTCAGTCTCGAGGTAGACACCATAAAGAGCACGGAAGATCTCATTCAAGCCATCCATGCAACAGCCGAGGGAGAAGTACGGGGCATAGTCAGAAGCCTTCAACTGGAACCTGAAAACATGCGTACCAGCCAAGCTTACACTAGTTGACCCTCTGTGATATAGAAATTCTGTGGGAATCACGACTGTACTACGGATGCATGCGACCGACGAAAAATCAGCAGTGAAAGTTTATTTTTCAAGTTTTCACTCAATTCTTGAAGTTTTATTTTTTCCTTTGTAACGACTATAGAACAATGAAATCATTTAGAGAATGTCCATGGAATGCCTTTGATGATTGGCTGATCAATAGTCAAGTTGTCAGCTAATTTTGATAACATTAGGATGACGGTTTTTCTTCCTTTTTATACATTTAAGTATTTTAATGCAACTGCAACTACAGCTGACACAGGGCAGTATTATGTAAATGTAAACAAGATACTCGGGTAATAAGGCAAATTTGAAGGCACCATGAAAATACAGCACATCAAATGTCTGCCTCTGAGCAATCGGTATCGAAAGCTGAAAATATGTTATGCTGCAGTATTCCAATATACAGATTATGATAGAACATTGGCGTATGAGTTCCTTTTTAAACAATCAAGTAATTTTTGCAAGCCAGTGCAAACCTGCAAACCTGAAAACTAGCGAAGATGCAGACATTTCTTCAAGCTAGCACGAAACTTTTTCGGTGCCTTGATCTGATTGACAAAATAAATGAACGGAAGTTATTCAGAAAATTCATCGGTTGTACCAAGCATTTACATTGCTGATACTTGCGTTTCCTGGGCAGCGATCGCATCACCGTTATCAGACAGCATAAGCACATAAGGAGTTCCTTGACAACTGTTTCTGAGCCGTCTGGCCAGCAGGACTGCACATTTCAGTCAACAGCGACGCAGCTTTTTCTGTACACAAAGTCACCACTTGCTTCTGAAGGAGTGTTAGCTCAATTATCTCCTCTAAGTCTAGTAGTACAACACCCTTGCTAAGCAGAACATCAGGCTTCAGTGATGGCTAGAGAAGTCAGGATTCATCAAATTCATGCCTTGTTTAAATTGAGCAAAGCTTGGCCTTTTGGATAGTAGAAAATCCGTCATCACAGACTCATTCTTATGGAAAAAAGAAAAGACACAGGGCAAGATAACAGACACTGACCCTGCAGTGCCCATTTTGAACAGCACTCGTCCATATCTGTGACCTTGTCTCGTATGTTTCTTTTTTTTTTTTCGTAAGGTATCTGCATTCATACTAAGTGCTTTTTTCACTGAGTCCAGATTATAAAAACTAGAGATGTTTGCACGCAATTGCCTCAATCTAAAATACTTCAAATACAACTGCATAACTTAAACAGGGACTTAGAACGACACAAAAAAATGAATTTCAAGTACCATGGATCACCAGCTTGCCTAATGAACTATTTTGACCCTATCCAAAAATTGGGCCTGACTGTGTTTTCTTTTGTACACTGTAAATTGAAATGATTTCATAAATTCCCATTTTGGCAAATCCAGTCACAAAATATAGCTGGATTTGACGATACATGCAAGTAGCTCTTTTTTAACCTTTCACAAATGTAAAAAAGGGCAGCATTATGCCTTCTGTGCTGTTTTGAGCTATCACTATGAGCACATGCACACTATAAGCAAAGATCCTGCTGAGCTGCTTCATGTGTGTGCTGGTCTTTCCAGAATGGGCTCTAGGTGCCACAACAACATTACGTGATAGTTCACTAGACACTGACTTCCAACAACAGATTTTTAATGATGTCACTTCATGAAACATCAAAGCACAGTACCTGCACAGCCCAATAAGCCTCGATTAACCCTTTAAATGCTTTGGACGAGCAGACCTTGTCTTAACAGAATATGTACTCTCCGGTAGTGTTCAAAAGAAGAAGCGCTCGTCTACAGCTTAGATGGCATGTCATCCACTAGATGGCAGCATTTACTCGCCGATTTCGTTTTCTCCTACTGCAGGAAAGCGGTTTTTGTATAGAAAGATGTAGGCTTGTGCAAATAGTGAATATGAGGTTCGAAGCAAATAATTATTTTGGCCGAATATTTTTGATCGAATTCAAATAGTGTATATCATATATTATAAAGAGAAATGAGCACATTTGTCATGATCCAACTAACCTGCATAATAAAAACCTAGTGCAAAAACTCTCCGAAGCTTTAACCTTACCAACTAACCTGCTCGACGAGCTTTTTTTTTTTTTGAAATTGAGACAAGCCTTGTGCAAAAATCATTCTTTTAGGTTCAAAGGAAATGTAAACAACTGTAAATAGTAGCAGGATTTGACTTTTCGTAGAATGAAAGGGATAACCTGTAAAATGTTATGTTTTAGAGCAAATAAGCTAGTTTAATAAACATTTAACATAGCCTCCTTTATTTTCTGTGCCCGCGCAGTCAGTCCGCCGGGCCCGTTCGGCCGCCTCCCGCATCCTCCTCTCTTTTTGCGTCTGCTGTCCGCCAGGGGCGCTCGCATCCCAGAATCGAGTCGGCGCATTCAGCCGCGGCGACGCATCTCCAGGAAACCTTTGTTCGTGTCGCATACGTTTGCAACACCAATTATTTACGACCAAAACGGTACGTAGTACTTTCAGCAAGTATAATTGTAACTGTTGCTTCATTGTGTTGCGTGAGCAGATGACACGCGGCATTAACTGAGTGCGTATAAACAAACAACGTCGTTTGTACCCCGCGTTTGTACGGCCGTTGTCAAGCGCGGCTATCATTTTTCGCGCTTCTTTCTGGCAATACTTTTCCGCGCACCTATCTTCGCAGCGTAGTACTTTCAGCAAGTATGATATTTAACTGTTGCTTCATTGTGTTGTGTGAACAGATGACACGCGGCAATAAGTGAGTGCGTGTAAACAAACAACGTCGTTTGCACCTCGTGTTTGCAGGGCCGGTTTCATGCTTTGCTATAATTTTTCGCGCTTCTTTCTCGTGAGGCTTTTCTGCGCACCTATCAGCGAATTTCGCTAAGTAATCAGGAATGTTAGTTTACGGTTTCTCTCGTTTCTGTCTCGTGCAGCGGCCTACGCACACAAGTCTCCGAGGTTCATTCGGCTGTGATGACCCGCGTCAGGTGCGATGGCGTACTGTTGCGTGCCCGGTTGCAAGTCTTCAAGCAAAAAGAAGGAAGTAGGAATTTCATTCCACGAAATTCCAAGCGACGAGGAGTTGCGGCAAAAGTGGATAAAAGTCATTTCACGAGACAATTGGACGCCAAACACCACTTCCTGCTACTCAACCGTGTGCAGTCATTTCGCTGCTTCTGATTTTAAGCAAGGATGTAAAACACGAAGGCTTATGAAAGGTGTGGTGCCTAGCGTATTCGAAGAATATCCGCGCTACTTGCAGCCTTCGACAAAAGCCCCGAGAAGTGACGCGGCGATCAGAAAAAAAAAAAAAAATTGTGATTGCTAAAATTGTGATTGCTGCTTGTGAACAGTGTCAACGAGGGTACTAAAGCTCGCCAGACTGTGTGCGTGTGAGGAACGTTTCGATCGACGCCCTCTTGTTCGTTTCCGCGGGTTGCGAATGAATTAATACGCAATAAACAAGTTTCTCTACCGTTTCCTTGAAGGCATGGTGTTCTGTTCAATGTGCTATCTTGCGTACTTATTCTTTCTCTCTTGCATATGTTCTCTCCTAAATATTTAAGTGGCACACGGGAGTGGTATCACACTTTTGTTTTTTAAGCTTGCCGCGCTTACTAACGCGCAACGAAGGACCCACCCGTCAGTGCCGGCGGTAGCATCGGAGTCAGTGAACAGGCTCTGCCGGTTCTGGGAAGGCAGCGCCACCTGGTGGTGATTGCGGGAACTCAGCCTGACGGTCGGCTCCCTTTGATCCCGGCGGCAAAGCGCAGGCACAGAAAATAAAGGAGGCTATGCTTTTAAGCTTACAAAATGATGAATCAATGTGAGAGTAACTTGTTCATTTAACTTTAAAGTGGGGCTTTGCGACAGTACAGATTTCCTGTTAATAGATGCCATCACGGCTTAGCACAAGTTCACTGCAGTGAAACCACCTTTGCAAAAAGCCCAATGCGCACTTACTCGTTCATTTCGAATACTTCGAAATTTTTTTAACAATTTAGGTTCGTACCAAAGTGAAATCCAATTGAGTTATACTCGCACCAGCCTAGAAAGATGGCAAGCGGTGGTGGTGACCCATGCTGCATAGCTGCCCTGTCGACAAGAAAAAGAAGCCTTTCGTACTTGTCATCATCTTCGAGTGATGATGATTCGGATACAGGTGTTTATCTTGCGCCCGGAAGTGAAGACAGCAATGACTGTGGATTCAGCAGCTCCTTCGGTGATGACGAAGACAGCTTAGAAGGGAACATCGCGAGTGTTCACCAGTGAAGTCACATTGCGTTATTTTGTGTTTTGAAATTTTCCACACAGTTGCGAATTTTGCCGAGTGACATTGACCAAGGAGACAGCCTACACAAGTGAAGAAAGATGTGGTGTCCACAACTTTTTACTCATAAAGATTATATCTTTATTAGCAGCAGGTAGCTGGTTTTCTATGTATTGTTGAGAAGTATTGCATTAATTCGACCAAGTATGTTGTGCAAATATTTCTTCAACATCAAGCAGCTGGTTCTCAGTACAACAAAATTCGAAATCAGCATTAAAAAAGCCCTTTTGGTTGAGAAACAATTAAAAAAATTGAGAATTTAAGGGATTAAAAAAATTTACACGAAACTCAACCTGCCTCCCGCGTCTTTGCGTTTCAAAGAAATGTTTACTCGAGTAAACACTACACTGAGTTTTGCTTGAAACCGCTTTTTCAGCACCCGCATCGACGCCAGTTTCCGCTGGGTCAACGCTGTGTGCACCGCTGCTACTTCGTATCTTATCAGGGTTCTCTTAAGGGACATGGTCCATAATTTTTAATTCATCTGTGCACCACTTGCCATTTATAAGGTCGGCCCACGAGATTGGGCCTATGGTCGCAGCCATAGGTCGGCCCGTGTGCGGCCATTAACCAAAATAAACCTCAGCCCAACCTTGTTAGCGAAGCTTGGGCAATGACCGGCTAGGCTGGCCTTGTATGTTGGGCCAGCATAGAGCTGAGGTTGTTCTTTCAGTGGAGGATCTTCATGTCCTAGACAAACTTCCCGCGACAACATACCGAACGGCAGGCTAGGCCTAATCAGCATTCAATGCGTTTCAGTAGCGGTCGCATGCTATTTATAGGTTGCAGTTTGGTACGGAACCAACGGAACTCTTTGCAGTGGCTGCACTTGACGGGAAGGGATACATGTCGTTAATGAAAACGAGAGTGGCACGTGTAGTGCTCGAATGGTGGTTCACTATTCGATTGCGATGTCCTGAAGTTGGATGCGAGTTAATGAAATGAACGACTGGCGTCTTTCTGCTCCTGAAATTCCGAACGTGATTCGGCTTAGTTTCTGTGTAATGCGCATAATCGACTGAGGCGCTCTGAGAAGAAGTCTGCGAGTTTCCGCAATGGTGCTTTCTTTTGTTAGACACCTCCCCCTCGCCTTTTCGCGTTCATTTCGTTGACCACGTGCATCTTTGGAGGATAAATTTTCTTTAAACTTGTGAATTTATATGGTTGTAAGTACCACGCATTGCATGCTTTGATTCTCGGACAAGTGAGGATGCTGAACACATTTTGCTCAAGTGCGGCCCTTGTAAAAGGCGGTTTTAGTTACAGTGTGATACCGCCTATAGTGGGGATATTTCCGACTCCTGCGATTTACGTTATAAGTGGTCTATACTGTATAGTGCTTTTTTTTTGCACTGTTTACCAGCTGGCAACCAAAAATTACAGACTTTCTGTGTTTCTATTCATGCCAAATATTTTTGTTGGTTTACAACATATATTTTCAGAAAGAGCATTTCATGGTGAAAAATTTTGTATGCTGCAATTCATGCTGGAGTACTTTTCAAACTGGCGAAGACAATCTTCCCAAGAAATAAGAAAAATAATCATTTTCTTGCAGTAACGAAAGAGGAAACGAAGGACTCTTAAAGCAAGTCCAAATAACTTATAATGATGAAGTGTAGTCTTTCTTAATGAACAGTTAATTATACAGTGCTCATTTATACTGCTAGAACAGACAGTGCTAAGTGGTGTTGATTCTTACCCAATGTGCAACCATCTAGCTCAATTAAAGTTATTGCTGGCCTGTACTCTGTCGTCCTTTATAAAAGGAAACACGGTAGCACATGGCCACTGCTCTGTGGAGGCAGCCTACAGCGCCATCAATCGACAGTGAAAGAAAACACGTTCGCTATCGGCGTCATCTATCTACGAACAAAATAACCAGCCACAGTCGGTAAACGAATGCTCGTGGATTAGGCTCCTGGTACGATAGCACAACCGGCGATGCCTGCAGCACGTCGTCTGCGTGGTGCGCGAGCACAGTATAATCGTAAGAGCACTGTCCCAGGTCTTACGAGAGTTGCGCTTCGCCGAAACAAGATGTATAGGCGAGAGGGACACACTCGGGTGAAGGCGTGGTTGTGGTTTATCACTGAATGATACAGAGGGTCAGTCAGTGATACTATGTACTATCTGAGCTTTATGCCTTCGACTTAGAGCTCGAACATTTCCATAAGCTACCAATCAATAAGTTTCGGAAAAATTGATATGCATTACAGTTCTCCAGTGAACAAAGATAAAAATCTTCATGCAAATACTTTTTAGCATCACCTATGTTTTCTCCCCTGCATTGCAAAAAAATATAGAAATGGTATTTTCTCGTGAGACTCGCTCGAGAAAAACCCTGAGACCAACTTTACCCGGTCCTAATGTCATAACTTGAGTATCTCCGTTCGTCCAAGGGTATGAGTGGACATGAGGAAACCGATAGTGGTGATTCCACTCGACTAAATTCTCCCTGTGTGTATACGAAAATATGTGCGCAGCCCCCCTCCCCCCCCCCCTTCGTTTTCTGAAAAGGCTGCACGGTTTTCAGGCGAGCGGCAGCATTGTTATTAGTTAAGTCGGTGGACCAAGTTCGAGTCGAGGAACAACTATGTATACGGGGCAAAGAAAGCAGTGACTGAGATAATTTACACGAGTAACAGGTGCGCTTGAAGATGCCGCAAGGGGAAAATTTCGCATCCTCAATTCGTTGCCTGCTGACTTGACAATGAGAGATATGGGTGCAGAACCACGCCTTCACATGAGTGCATCCCTCTCGCTATACATCTCCAGCTTTATCGAACCGTAACTCACGTAAGCCGAGAGACAGTGCTTTTACCAGTATACTACGCTCGAGCACCCAACTCTGTTTACGTATCGTGGTGGGAGCGTAATCCAGCAGTGCTTGTCTACCGGCCATGGCCAGCCTAGAGGCGAGCACGTGCCTCGAGACGAGCCGGGACTGCTTATTTTGTTCGCCGATAGATGACACCGAAGGCGAACGTGTTTTCTATCGTGCTCGGTTGATGGTGCTGCAGGCCGCCACCGCACGGTGCCGGTCATGCACTTCTGTGTTCCCTTTCATAAAGGACGACAGAGTACATTACATACATGACATGTCAAGAGTCATGACGCCTGGAGGGATACAACAGAACTGCAGAGAAACCTGCATGGCTACACACCTGCGCTCTTTGCAAAATAGAATACCGTTGCTGTTAACACTGCTGCTGATAGTGATCACGATAAATCGCAACTAGACACTACAGGCCTTTCGTTGTTTAGAAACAACACTATGACTGCAACACTATTACAACTGCAGATAACAGTCACACAGCAATGCAGACTGCTACTATTCAGCACTGCTAAGAAGATGCCCATGCTAATTGGGCCATGGAGAAAACTAAGCACAGAGGATCGATTAATTTCGGCACAGCCATTTGTATTGGGTGACAAGCTCTGTGTAAATGCTCATACTTGTGGTACTGCTACCGATGAAGCTGGCAATTTTTTTTGCCCTTTGTAATGAGTGGGCAGCTGCAAAGCCCCAACTTGCTATGGAATTCGTTTGACATAATGCCCTGCACAATACTAATAAACGACCACCACACCATGCAATTACGAAGCCACACACGCGAATCTTCGCACAATTAGATGCGTACACAGGTTTTTCTTGAAGCAGTTTCAAATGCTAGCGTTGCTGAAGAGTAGAATTGTTCTCACTCACATGAAGTGCCTGGGTTTGATCCCAGTGGTTCTGTGGATATCTTATTTTTTTCATCATGTGCTATAGCCGCAATGGACACTGATGGCAATAAACGATATTGGCACCAACCAAAATTGGCTATTTCAATGGGCTCATAACAGCTCAAGCTTTAAACTAAATGTAGCTATTTCTATTAGGTGGTTCATGATGCCACACATAAATCACAACTGTTCATCTGCCTCTTTACCCAAGGCTTCTGGCACCCGAGTTTAAGAGCACTACCTTTTAATGAGCGTGGCCCTTACATGAGTATATATATGTGAACAATAAACTCACTCCTTGAATCATGTCAAGGGCATTACAACTGACTTGGCCTTCATTAGAGCAAACTCAGTTTTTGCTGTGGCTGTATGAAAATAGTGACCCCATCAAACTGCTGATGACCCAGCCCACATTACTCACTTCGCTTGTCGGGCACAGAACGTGTAATAAGGGACGTCCCAAGCTTGAAGCACCTGAAGAGAGAAAATGCACAAAAAGCACCACAACTGATCAGGAGGCTGTAAAATCGGGAAGATCGCAAGAACATTGAGAATCTGTGTAAGCTAAACTTTTTTTGGTGTTGGCAAAGAACGCTGCTCTTAGTTAGAATTTTAAAAGTGCAAACCATACAATGAATTTGAACATGTTGTCTCCAGACTATGCCCATCCAAAAGAAGAAGCTCTTCTATTAACTAGCAGGGGCCCCGAAACATTTCCCCACTATGCCATCAAGTGTGCAACTGCTAGCTGGAACAGCCACTCTCCCTTCGATTCACACTCGGAAAAATGGTGCACATGGCTCTTAAGGCGTGTAAATTATTGATGAAAGAGCCGCTCTTCCAATCAGCAGCAGCACTTCTGACCGCGAACAGTGGCTTGTAAAATCTGAAGCAGATTTCTCTTTTTTTTTTGTTCTAGACGAGCATATGAAATAATTCTATACTATGATACAGGCAGAGCTGGTAAGCAAACCTAATGTTAATATAACAACGCCACAGCATCTCTGAATTCTCATCTGTCCGACCATTATTACTAGCGGTAGTAGTTTCGGTTTCAACTGTTACGTCGACTTACAATCTTGCAAAAACAAAAAAGAAAGAAAGGAGACAGCTTTTTCTAATGCTGCTACAGGAGGACTGAGCTGAAAGCCCTTGGAATGATATGCACCTGCTTAAGATCTGAATGAGCAAACAGCAGCAGTACAGCACAGATCGAGTGATTACTATTATATCTTGTGGTGTGGTTTTAATATTCGGCCCCACTCAGATTCTCAGTGGAGTGGCTATGAATTTATTTCTACTGTTTTTTTTTGTTTGTTTTTTTTCGTCTCTCCAATGCAAGCATTGTAACCACTGGGGGAGTCCATGTTTTTTAAGTCCAGAGGGTACAGCACTCACAAAAAGATATGCAACAAAAACAGTAGTAAAACGCTGCATTTGCGCAATTATACGACAGTGTTCTGTCAAGTACGTATACGTAAGAGATGGGGAAGGAGACGTAATATCTGATCTAAATATAAGGCAAAAATCAATCTGATGCCACCTGACACAGATGGCAGTGATAAAAATATGCGCATCAGTTAGCACCATTCTTTTCTTTCTTTTTTTACACATACACATTTATCCTTGTGAGAAAGAGGAGAAGGGTATTTTCTGGCAGCTACCTGTCAAAAACAAGAAGCTCTAGAGGCACTCCTACTCTACGGCAACACAGAAGTAGGAATTTTCACTGAATAGTAGCTAAACGAAAACATACAAAGCAGTGAAATTCTACGTGACTTTCCGTCCTTGACAATTTACAGACGAGATAGGCTTAAGAGAAGGGGAGGGCGAATTCTGGTTCCAGTCAAATCCCACTGGCACTCCAATAAGGTAGATATTAACAGCAGCTGTGAAATGCTCTCCATTAATCTGCCTGTTGCCTCAGGTAATTGTATACTGGTCACCTCTTATCAACCTCATGACTGTGACTGTGCCTTTATCCTGCACTTCGTGTTGGCTAATTTGAACTCTCGATGTCCTCGTGCGAAACGCTTTCTGTGCAGGGACTTTAATCTTCCCGATATAGACTGGGTCAAACTTGCGGCCCCTTACTCCTCCTTATATAGGTGAATGATCTGCCATCAGGAATTTCATCATACATTTGATTATTTGCAAACGATTGCATCATTTATCGCCGAAGAACCACCCCTGATGACCGTAAAATCACACAAAATGAGCTAGCTTTAGTTGAAAACTGGTGTTCAATATGGGTGACGCAAACCAACGTTTCCAAATGCAAAGTCATGCGCGTATCTGACACGCAGTCAAACTCGGAACTTGTCTACAAGTTAAACTCAATAAACTTGGTGTATCTCGGCGACTACCGATACCTTGGTGCACTTGTTTCTAACACTCTCGCATGGTCAGATCACATCACACACTTAGTCATTGATGTATCAAAAAAGCTTGGTTACATCCGAAGAACTTTACGCCTATCACCTCCTGCAGTCCATAAAATTGCATATGTACCTTCATAAGTGCGAAGCTCGAATACGCGTCCTCCATTTGGAGCCCTTGCCAAATCTATCTCATTAATCTGTACAAATCCGTTCAAAATAAAGCTGCCCAGTTCATCACGTCCAACTACGATCAGTCATCAAGCATCACTTTTATTAAGGAGTCTTCAAACTTGCAGAATCTAGCCGACATACCCAAGTTTGTCGACAGCCGCGCAACGTTGTGCACGGCAACAGTGACGTGAGTTGGTCCGTTTCCTGAGGTGGGTAATTTGAAGTGCGCTAACCGCTATTGTATTTCGCGCTCTTGTATGTGTAAATTTCGTGCGGACATGTTTTAATATTTGCACAAGTATTTTTTTACGTCTGTTCTCGGATCCTGCAAAAGTATTACTCGTGTATTTGTACTTCTTTGTTACTTTCTTCATTTTTTTTTTGTATTTAGTAAAATGTTCTTCCCTTTATGTGATGCCCCTAAGGGACCCTTAAGGGTCAATTAAATAATAATGAATAATGAGAGTATGATTAATTTTTGTAAACTATTGCAGACTACTTACATCTATCAACTAGGTTTAACAACCCCCGCACACTTGATGTAAGGTCACTCAAAAATAAAAATAAATGGGGACCTTCATTTTTGCAGAATAAAATAAAGGATACTGAAGAACCAACTTACACATTTATTGCCACTACCAGATGTCTTCATGTCCAGCATCTCCTTATAATCGTTGTCAGCCCTAGTGAAAGAAACAAAATGAACCTTTAATAAAACTAACATTCATTTCATCACAGACACAACAGTTATTGCAATGAACAGTCACAGGGGAAAGAAAAAAAGAGATAGAGCACAGTATGACTTTTCACAAGCATAGTGTTATTATGATATGGTTCTGGATTTAATTGTTATGTTGAGCTCCCAAAAAGACCACTTACGCTTGATGCTCTGAACTGATACAATGGCAACAAATCTGGCGGTTTCAGGCAGCAAAATGCTGCATTCCTCTGTTGAGAAAGCATAATTTGAGGCGAACATGCTACTGCACACGTGTGCACACGAGTGTGTGTGTGCACGTGTATGTTTGTGCACATGTGCGTTCATGTGTTTGTGTGTGTACATGTGTTGGTCTGAGCATGTTTGTGTGCATGCATGTTTGTGTGCGTGCACATGCATCTGCATATGTGCATGTGTGTTTGTGTGTGTACATGTGCGTATTTGTGTAGATTTCTAACCAATACGGAGTTCATCCTTTCTTTGAGCTTGGGCTCAGGGCCCGGCATTTTATTCCAGCATTGGCAGTCGCAGTTTGATGGGGGCAAGATGTTAGATGTCTGATACATGTGTAGATTAACGGATGGCCAGGCGGTAGTGACTACCGTGAACAGTAGGCCATCAGGCCCGCGAAGAACATCAGAACATGTTGAGCCCTTAGCCCAAAACGAACTGTTGTTTATTGTTTCCAAAATGGCCACCCCTGCTGTGCCAGGCTTGCACAGCTCAACACAACTATCAGCGCCGCGTGGGGGCACTGCATTTGAGCCAACATTGTTATACTCCTCCCCTCTTAGGAGGAAGACTACGGGAAGTACCTATTCATCGGTTTCCTAGTACTTGTGACGTCCCAACTTTGGCGTGCTAGGCGTAGGCACGACAGAGTCACTGTTCACATGCACACCACTGTTGAGCGCAGTCCCGTCGCTCTCCATGGCACAGCTACTCCCAGAGAAGCTAGTTCCAGGTAGCTGTTCCAGATGAGGCACTTCTGGAACAGCTGGCGCATGAAGAAGCGGCGGCTCCAACTGTGGTGGAGCTGCAGCGATAGCAGTTTCAGGAGAGGCCAATGTTTCTGTCTGCACAAGGTGCAAGTGGTCGCTGTGTCGGTTTCCCAAGGAGCCATCTTCAAAACGGAGACTGGCTTATGACGGAGTGAGGTCCACGACACTGGCAGGCACCCAGGGTGTACCCCTGCGAAAGTTTCGCGCGTACACATCATCACCTGGCTGCAGTGATGGAGCCTGTCGGGACCCTCTTTCAGCATGCAACTTCTGCTTGAGCTGTTTTAGGAATACAGATGCCTGCAGGGTTGACCCGAGTACATCCAACGGGGTCTTGAACATTCTTCCTGTCAAGAGTTCACACGGTGGCCGACCTGTCACTTCATGTGGTGTGGTCCTGTAGTGGAACAGAAACATGGAGATCGGCATTTGGAAGTTCCCAGAACCAGACTTCTTGGGTTTGTTCTTCACAGTTTGTACAACTCGTTCAGCTGAACCATTTGAGGCAGGGTGATACAGCGGTACAAGCATGCGGCACATTCCATTTCGAGTTAAGAACTTAAGGTACTGGGCGCTGGTGAAGGCAGGACCGTTGTCGGAAACTATGACATCAGGCAGGTCATGCTGGGCGAGTGCAATTCTCAATGCAGAAATGGTAGCTTCTGCAGATGTGGAAGACACAGGAAAGACTTCTATCCACTTTGAGAACGCATACACAATAACCAAGAATGTGTGACATCTCAATGGTCCCCCAAAATCAATGAGAAGCCTTGACCAGGGTCGCTGTGGAAAAGGCCACGGCGTCTGCTGAATTGGCTGTGCAGCTCTATGTTGAGTCTGGCACGTAGCGCAGCTCTTCCCGCTGTTGGCAATGTCATTGTCAATGCCTGGCCACCAAACATGGCTCCTGGCAATCATCTTGCTCTTCTCGATACCCAGGTGGCTGGCATGAAGAACACCAAGAACTTGGGCCTGCAATGACTTTGGGATCACTACTCTTGATCCCCAGAGTAGGCAACCCTCATGGAGACTGAGTTCTGATCTTCTGGTATTGAAAGGGTTCCACTCTGGTCCTACTGGGAGGCTTTCTCCTTTCAGAATAGCAAGAACAACATGGCCCAGAACTGGGTCATTTCATGTGGCTTGGGCCACAACACCTGGTGAAAGGAGTCTCGGATATGCCTCCTCTAGCAAGAAGATTTCAGCAGGTCGTGTTAATGTAGTAGTGTCAGTTGGGAGAGGCAATCTACTAAGAGCATCAACGTGGCTGACCTCTTTGCCAGGCTTGTATACAAGTTCGTACTTGTAAGCAGAAAGCTTCAGAGCCCACCTGACCACTCGAGACGAAGCTTGCACAGGAACGGGCTTGTTGGCACCCAGCAGTCCAAGAAGTGGCTTGTGGTCAGTGTGTGCTTTGAATGAAATGCCCCACAAGTACTGGTGGAACCGATCCACACCAAGCACTAAAGCCAGTGCCTCCTTGTCGAGTTGACTGTAGTTTTGTTCTGCTTTTTACAAGCTCCTCGAGGCAAAAGCAATGGGATGTTCCCTCCCATCAGCATCTTTGCGGGCCAGAACTGCACCTATGCCATAAGGCGATGCGTCACAGCTGAGGCAAACAGGCCTGGCAGGGTTGAAATGCACAAGAACTGGAGCTGATGTCACCAAGTGCTTGCAGGCATTGAATGCACCTTGTTGTTCATATCCCCACTCACACTTCTTCCCTTCACAAAGAAACAAGTACAGTGGGCGAAGGAGTGACGAAAGATTGGGTACGAAGCGCCTGTAGAAGTTTACAAGTCCCAAGAAACTCTGAAGTTCCCTGACATCCTGAGGCACAGGAGCATGCAGAATGGCTGCTACCTTGTCAATATTCGGTGAAAGGCCTTCCTTGCTGATGATGTGCCCGAGATACTCAACTTGTGGCACAAAGAAATGGCATTTTTTAAGTTTCAGCTTGAGGCCAGATTTCTGAAGCTTGCTAAGTACAGCACGAAGGTTGCGAAGGTGCTCAGCATCATTTGCGCCAGTCACAAGAATGTCGTCAAAATAGACTGCTACATGGGGCAGTCCCCTGAACAAGTTCTCCATCTCGCGCTGAAATATGGCAGAAGCAGATGAGAAGCCAAAAGGCAACCAGATGTACTGAAATAACCCCATATGCGTCGAAATAGTGACGTACTCCCTTGAGGCCTCGTCAAGAACAACTTGCTGGTACGCATCTCGCAAATCCAATTTTGTGAATTTCTCACCTCCGCCAAGCCCAGTCCACAGGTCCTCGATCCTTGAAATGGGGTACTGCTCCACTGTTGCCACTGGGTTTATGGTGACGCCAAAGTCTCCACAGATTCTGATGCGCCCTTCCCTTTTGGTCACAGGAACAATAGATGCAGCCCACTTTGCTGTCTTGACTGGAACAAGAATGGAATCTCTTCTCAGTCTATAAATTTCTTGAGTTACTCCATCTGTCAAGGCATACGGCAGTGGACGTTGCTTGAAGAACCGAGGCGGAGCATCTGGAGGAACATGTAGAGAAGCTTTAGCACCCTTGAATGTACCCAGGCCTTCTTCAAACACTTCGACGTAGTCTAGGACTAGGTGTTTGACGTCGGAAAGTGCGTGGATGTTCACTTCAATGTCTGAGACGCCGATGCCCAGCTCACGCATCCAGCTGTGTCCAAGAAGAGTGGGCGATCCGTCTCCGGTCAGAAAAATAGGTAGGTCGGCCTCCCTGCCATGAAACTTCACACTGATGTCAGCTTTGCCCTGAACCTTTTTTAGTTCCCCCGAATAGCTTCGCAGAAGCACTTGCGACGGCTGCACAGGAACCGAAGGCAAAAGCTGAAGAAGACGAGACTTGGCCATGACAGAGACACTTGCCCCCGTATCCACTTCCATGCGGAGCAGCTTGCCGCAAACGTCAACAGTGACGGTGAAAGGCGGAGGCAGCGTGGCGTAGTCGACCGGCCACATGTCAAAAATTTCGTAAGATGAAGTGGTAGCGGCGTCCTGCTTGCGTACCGTATTAACACGATGACGGTTACTCGATGACGGTAAACTGCAAGCCGAGAACGAACATGCCTTAGTAGGGCTGTTGCTTTGAGCTTGGCTGTTTCTTCTTCTCGAATTGCACACCTTCGTCAAATTACCTCGTTTGTGGCAGTAATTGCAGATTGTCTTCACATGCTTGCATTTTGATGCAAGATGTCCGTCCCTGCAGCAGTAGCAGGTGATGCCCCCAGAACCTGACGAGACACGGTGAGTCGAGAAAGCGTCGCTTGTGTTCGCTTGCGCTATCTCACCTGCGTCCATTTTTGGTGCTCCCATTGCCAGGGCGGTCTGCACCGCGTCATCAAAGGTGAGGTCCGGTTTTTCCAGAAGTCTTGTCTGGACATCCACATTGTTTATGCCACACACGACGCGGTCAGGGAGCATGTTTTCGAGTTCAGCCCCGAAGTTGCAGTGCTCGAACAGGCTTTTTAGTGCTGCAATAAAATTGCTGACGGATTCTCTTTCCGCACGAACGCGCGAGTTGAAACGAAAACGCTGCACGACGGCAGAGGGCTTCGGACAATAATGGCTTACAAGAACTTGAAGAATCTCGTCCAGCGTCTTGTCACTGGGCTTGGCAGGCTTGACCAAATTGCGGAGCAAAGCATACGTTTTCTGCCCGCAGCAGCTGATGAACACGGCAGTACGCTTGTCTGGGGCGACATCACTCGCCAGGAAAAATGCTTTGAGCCGGTCCACGTAACAGGGCCAGTCGTCTCCTCCCCCCTCGAACGGCTCGAGGTTGCCGAAACTTGGCATGGTGAACAGATGGCAGAGCGGTGCGGGAACGAAGACTTACATGAAACTTCCTTTCATCCTCGTCGCCAGTTGATACATGTGTAGATTAACGGATGGCCAGGCGGTAGTGACTACCGTGAACAGTAGGCCATCAGGCCCGCGAAGAACATCAGAACATGTGGAGCCCTTTGCCTAGAACGAACTGTTGTTTATTGTTTCCAAAATGGCCACCCCCGCTGTGCCAGGCTTGCACAGCTCAACACAACTATCAGCGCTGCGTGGGGGTGCTGCATTTGAGCCAACATTGTTACAATGTACTTGTGCTTAAACTTAGATGCCCATTAAACAACCCCACGTGGTTTCAATTTCCGGAACTCTGCACTTTGGCATAAAGAATCATGTGCGGTTTTGGGATGTCAAACCTCCAACAATTATTATTATTTCTATGGTTCACCTCAATGGCACTGGCAGGTAGCAAAGAGTGAAGTTGACTTAGCACTGGCTTTTATCTTTTCTTTTTAGATAGACTCTACATGAAAAGCTAAAAAAAGTTCCCCTCTCCAATAATGACTCAGCGGACAGCTCTATGTCTAATATAATTAAACATTTTGTTAGTTATTAAAGGGACCCAAAAGAGAAACAATGACTTGGTTTAGATTGATAAACTGCACTATGAGAACTCTATACCATAATTTTCACTGTCATGAGTTCATTATTATCAAATAAAATCAAGGTTGAAGTTCCATGTTTAAATTTCACCCCAAAATCTCCACACATTTTCCTGAGAGAGAGAGAGGTAAATTTGATTTCCAGCAGATTGCTGGGCTGGACTCCCGCCTAGGAGCTAACAGAGAGCAATGTCTCCCGGCAGCATCCCTGGCCTGATGGATCGCCCAGAGCTGCTTGTCCAGGCCTGAACTAAGCAGCGCAGTGCACCAACGCACCCGAAAGTTTTCACTGGAGGCCGCGAACCCAGAATTTCTTATTAATGCTGGACATTCCCATAGGATATGGTCAAGAGTGGTACAGTGCTGGCAGAGATTGCAGCTATAGACGTCGAGAATATGTTTCGTGCATGATAACGAGGTTCATGTACGTGCGTGTTTGTAGCTGCCGCCATTGAGCGGACTGGGCCCGGGGGGGGGGGGGGGGGGGTACTCTCATTTTTGCAGTGGATAGTGTTGAGTTACATCAGAAAATTTAGCAAATTAGTGAGTTAATCTTCCCATTCCCACAGCGGCACAGAAAAGTTCATTTGGGTGGCCGCTTTGTCTAACGCGACTTGGAACGTAAGACCTCGAGCCACGTTGTGTGCCATTTCATTCGGGCTGTCCTCCGAGTTACCTAGAGGTATGTGTGCAGGGAACCAAAGGATGTGCACGTATTTGTACCCCTCGTAACTTTTGCCTGTATTAAGAATTCGCAATGCCTCGGGGGAGATTCCCCCGCCGGCGTACTTACGAACGGCCGTCTGCAATCACTGATTACATAAGAGGCGTTCGTGTGGGCTATGGCCATTGCGATAGCCACTTCTTCCGCCGTTTTTATGTTCCATATGATGATTGAAGTGCTGCTTTTGCATTGTTGTGTCTGGTCTACAACAGCAGCCACGAAGCGGTGACGTTTCTGGTAGCATGCTGCGTCGACAAAGATTGCCTCATGGTAGCGCCCGAGAAACTTTGACATGGTTCTGGCTCTACTGACATGTCTGTCCTTGTTATGTTTAGGGCACATATGCTCAAGGTCAGAGCACAAGTGCTCAAGGTCAGAGCTGCTTGTCCAGGCCCGAACTAAGCAGCGCAGTGCACCAACGCACCCGAAGGTTTTCACTGAAGGCCGCGAACCCAGAATTTCTATTTAATGCTGGACATTACCATAAGATATGGTCAAGAGTAATACAGTGCTGGCAGAGATTGGATTTGATTGATTGATATGTGGGGTTTAACGTCCCAAAACCACCATATGATTATGAGAGACGCCGTAGTGGAGGGCTCCAGAAATTTCGACCACCTGGGGTTCTTTAACGTGCACCCAAATCTGAGCACACGGGCCTACAACATTTCCCCCTCCATCGGAAATGCAGTCCGCCGCAGCCGGGATTCGAGGCAGAGATTGGAGCTATAGACGTTGGGATGACCCATCTATCAGCCATTGGCTGATTTGAACATGGCACCCTTGGTTGTTACAGAATCGCCACAAGAGGCCGTCACTTGTCCACGCGTGCGTGCACAATCGCACTGAAAAAATCGCGTATTTGATTAAAGAAAAAAAAAAGAGAAAAAGTGCTCAAGGTCACGAGGCGAGCGTGAGGTTTTTTGTTTGTCCCTCCCATCCCTCCCTGCTTAGCTTCTAGCGCTTTCATCAGGACGAGAGAAGAGATAATGCGATTGCAGCTTGTGACGAATATTTGTAACTCCGTTCGTACTGAACGGATTCTTAAAATTTTTGCGGCATTGAATTTGTGAGGCAATACGTTTTACCAGTGAATTAATTCTATGATTACTCAAAAAAGTGTTTCAGGGTTCTTTAAAGGGCTTGTTGCGAGTTTCGATTACGAAACAGAGCAGTGAAAAATCACCAGTCATGAAAACTGCGCCACATGATCGCCAACGCGCCATGAGTCGCGAATAAAGAACCGAGGTGCCCATCAATATCATTTAAAATGGTTTGATCGCGCATTCTGTCACCACGGCTTCACAAATAACCAAGTGTTTCTCTCTCCATGCGGACACCAATGTGTGGATTTTGTGTGTGATGGCTTTTTTAAATGCCTTGAGAACTCGCTTGTCTAAATAAATTAGTAGCTAATGGGCGTAAACCGGGAATGGGTTGCATGTGTACTGTTGCTCACGGAACCCATTTTGAGAACCCATGTGCACGCGCCAGAGCATTCAGGACACGCGTCGCATGCAGGGAAATGACTACGTTTACAGTTACTCACTCATGGCAAATGCGCATGTGTAGTTGACCGAAGTGTCAACATGAAAACCGCAGCGACCAGAGGAATGCGCTACGCACAACAGAAAACCTGAGAGTGAACTCTGCTACGCTCGCCAATCGACTCTGTGGTTTTTGCTAGGCAACATTGGCCCCAGAACACACAGCTTAGCTAGTAGAAGCAGCATGCTCGATGCACGGCAGCACATTTTTGCGGGGTCATGCATATTTACAACAGTTTAGAGGAGATTATGGCAGCACCATGCATAGGAGCCTTCGTCACCAGTAAAGTGCAAAGTAAAAAGGCACGATTGAGAGGGCCATATTACTGACCTCGGGCTTTTTTCTCTTTTAAACCTGAGGTTAGTATCAAAATTCTGGCTTTCGAGGCTGTTTTAGAGCAGTTCGGCGCAATTTTCATGATTTTTATGTTTTTGGAGCAGCTTGGTGCAAGAAAACGGAAGTGTATCAAAAATGCGCAATATGTGCAACTGTCTCATCCCTGTAGATGGTACATGGCTAAAGTAGAAGATAATGGCACAACTACTCAGACAGAAATGAAGCAACAAAAACGCAGATAAGGGCGTGTCTGTGTTTCTTTTTCCCTGTCCGAGTATTGGCGCCATCAATTCTACTTCAGGATAGTGATAATAAGGCGGTTCTTTCACCTGGGCTTCAATTCGGATGAGAGGATGTCCAAGAACTGTTCGACAACATCGGGGCTGCCTGCAATGCTGCCACGCAGAACACGATGCGCGAAGCTGGGAAAACCGCACAACTGTGCCAGACGGTGCCGTGCTCCCAGGAGCTCGTCCAACAGTTGGCTCTGGTGTTCGTCAGGATACAGGTAGGCACGGTACGCAGCCTCTCGGACCTAAAAGCACAACAATTTCTTGAAACCAAGCGAAGCATCAGCCTCCCACAATCGAAACCAACTTAATGGCCAAAAAAAGACATTATCGCTTGCCAGAGAAGCACACAACAAAAGTATAGAGTCCCCCACAAATAGCTTGAAGGGGAAGATGCTATGGATATCCACAAGGTACAGATCAGAGTCTTTTCAAATTTATGGCGGCTGAGCGAAAATATCCTACGTATACTTTAATCCTTGTCTGTGGTGCGGTGGTTCGCCAATGTTATACCGCAACCCTTGGGAGTGTGGCCAAAAGCGTGAGAATTTAAGTCCTGCTTAGGCAATAGCATTTTAAGCAGTTTGGAGCAGCGGGAGACACAACTTGCCAGCTTGAACGCAGCAGTGCAATTAGCACTTTCGAGTCACGTTGAGCGAGCGGCGAAAGCCAGTGGGGGCCCTGTACTTGGGGGCCCCAACCGACATGCTTCTGAGTAGCCCCTTTTCTATCCCTTCCCTTAAAATAAAGTTTTGCTGTTTTTCAGTATTGTTAAAAAGTATTCTCTGCACACTGCACCAGTTTACATTGGTAAATTAACCAACTGAAAGACAAGAAATGTAGGCATAGGCTAACAGCAAGTTTGAGATTTAAAGAGAATTCAAAATGAATAGTGATTTGGCCGGATAATATTGAATAAAATAGCTTGAATAGTGAAAATGAAGTTTTGTGGTTCTTCAGTGTTATTAAAAAGTATCCTCGGCACACTGCACCAGTTGACATTGATTGATTGATTGATAGATATGTGGGGTGTAACGTCCCAAAACCACCATATGATTATGAGAGACGCCGTAGTGAAAGGCTCCGGAAATTTCGACCTCCTGGGGCTCTTTCGCGTGCACCCACATCTGAGCACACGGGCCTACCCTACAACATTTCTGCCTCCATCAGAAATGTAGCCGCTGCCGCCGGGACTCGATCCCGCGACCTGCGTCTCAGCAGCCAAGTACCTTAGCCACTAGACCACCGCGACGGGGTGTACCAGTTGACAATGGTAAATTAACCAACTGAAAGACAAGAAACGTAGGTATAGGCTAACAGTAAGTCTGAGGTTTAAACAGAATTAGAAGCGAATAGTGATTTGTGTTGATAATATCGAACGGAATATCTTGAATAGTTTACCAATCGTATTGACAAAATCTGAACTTGCTTACCTTTAACACAAGAACAATATCATGTGAGGCTAGTTTAGCTGTGCTATTCAAGAAATTAGAGGGTGTTAAATGGGATGCAATAGGGCTCAGCGAAGTTATGAGGACAAGTGAGGCTTATACAGTGCTCAGGAACGGACACGTCCTATGCTATCATGGATTAGTTGACAGAAAAGAACTAGGGGCGGGGTTTCTTATACACAAAAATGTCGCTGGCAACATAGCAGAATACTATAGCATCAATGTGAGGATGGCATGTATCATAATTAAGTTTAACAAACGGTACAAGATGAAGGTTGCACAGACCTACACGCCTACATCGAGCCATGATGATCATTTGGTTGAATGCTTCTAAGAAACGTAGAGTCAGCGATAAATAAAGGAAAGACACAGCATACTATTCTGATGGGCGGCTTTAATGCCAAAGTAAACAAAAAACAGGCCGGGGACCACACAGTGAGGAAATATAGCATCGTCTCCAGAAATGCCAGAGGGAAGCTACTAGTAGACTTTGCAGAACGTAATAATTTATGAATCTTGAATACCTTGTACAGAAAACGAGCTAACCATACGTGGACGTGGCGAAGCCCCAATGGCGAAAGTAAAAGTTAAATACAGTCGAGCCCACATATAATGGCCCCACTTAAAACGAACTTTCGCTTAAAACGAACAATATCCCCGTGACCGTGAAAATATACATTGGTCCAATGGCACAAAATCACACTTACAACGAACGTCTCCGGACGCGGCTGATCGATTACAGCGAACTGAGTCAGCGGTCTGCCGACTTCCCAGGAAACCACTTTCGACCACCAATCAGGCATTGGCGAGGTGCCCATATATTCTTATTGTTAAACGCCGACCCTGCCTCCGCGACCCTCTAGTTGCCTCTCTCCCCGACCCAAGGAAGAAGGCAAGCTGTTTCCTTCCTCCATGCCTCGACTGTTTTTTGTTACGCACCCCTCCATCCTTTGTCCCCCCCGCTACTCTGAGCACCCCGCATTGCCAGACGAGGCCCGTGTTTCACACTGTCACCGATCTTTCGAAGACCGGTCGGCCATCTACCCTGTTTTTGATCGCTGGTGCTGTCGTTGGCGCCACCGGCCTGGAGTGACCAGACCATTTGCCAACTCTGATAATTTGTGATTTGTTTCGTGTTTAGGACTTGTTCTCGCTCACTTCGCACTCAACTCGGCATGCCTTCTGCACGCGTGCGGAAGCACGAAAACGGCTGTTTATTTGCGCGGAACAAATTGCGAAATATCGAAGTACGTGAGGCCACACAAACCCGCCGACACAACAAAAACGATTTTTTGACCACAGCTGCCGATTATTCGAACACCGCCGCGCGCACCAATCCAGGTGGTGGTGCTTCGACTTTTTCTACGTGCGAGTTTCACGAACCTTTCAGGCAAGCTACCCAACCTGCCTCCTTCCCATGTGCTTTGGTTTTCAAGGTCGCCCTCCCGCCCTATCCTCCCTTCTCTTTGACGCAACTCCTTCAAACAGCGTGGCGACGCCAGCCACGCTGGCTCAAATTAGTTTGGTTTTTTGACTAAAACGGCCCAGAGCTGTTCCACGCGTTCTGGCATGCGTGTCGCGTGTGCGCATCCTGCTCGCTCTTGGTGTGCGTGTGTGATCATGATGGCTTACAGGAGGACTAGCACGTTTTTTCCTGCCGCTCAACAAAATGTCCAAAGTGTGACCGCTTGGCTTGAGCGCAATCCGCGCATTAGGTGCCGCGTTGCTGAGCGCTTGCTCATAGCTATTGACTACCTGGCAGCTAACTTGCCGCTTCGGGCGTCCCGGTATTCAGCTGTGGTGATGGTGAATATTTCGTGGGCGGCGGTGATGACTACATGCGCCTGAAACTGTTTGCGCGAGGCCGACTTCGTGGACGTCGAGCCTGATGCCGAGCCTGATGCCGAGCCTGAAGCTTCCGAACAGGACCACTGCGGCGGTGATTTGTGGCAGCAGGTCGTCGACTCCAACCTGGCAGAGCGGGTGGGACATCTGTTGTGATGGTTTAATTACGGTCGATGATGATGCTGACACTGCGGGACCGTGCACGGATTGGGGCACTGTGAATGAAACACGTTGCGAGAGCGATTTGAAGCAATTGGATTGCGAGAACAACGAAACTTTGGAGTCAGTGCCTCATGCAGCTTATGCCACGGGCCTCGGCGAACGAGCACCCTGCCGTTTTAAATGAACTCGAGACCGCCCTTATCGCTTCTGCTCTTCGAAACACTTGCATCACGGACTTTTTGGGGCAAAAAAGTTTGCGTTTTCACTCGCAACTTTTTTTAAAAGCTGTGTTTCATTTACTAATAACTTCGGGATACAGCGAACGAATGCCGCGTCATGATCAGATTCGTTATAAGCGGGCTCGACTGTATACTTCTTTTTGTGTGCACACCCAGGCATTGTACAGGATGAAGAAGTAGACTGCAAAACCTGATGCAGTGACAATAAAAGCGTAAGAGTTCGCATTCACCTATATTTCAATAAGCAAGGACAAACTTATACAGAAGTAGCCAATTAATGAGCTTGCAGTGCGAGGGAAAGTACAGGAATTCAATGTTTCACTCGAGAATAGATTCGTGGCTCTAAACGAGGTAATCTAAGTTAGCGTTGACACAATCACCAAAGAGTGTGCAATGAAAGTCAGAGAGTAGTCACTAGACAGGACACTGACAAACTATCTCAGGAGAAGAAAAATCTCATTAAGAGTAAAAAAAACTATGAAAGCCACAAATGCGACCGATAAATTAGAGCTAGTGGAACTTTCGAAGTTTATAAATAGGCATAAAGTAGCAGAGATCAGGAGGTATAACATAGAGAGAATAGAGCAGACTGTAAAAAGTGGCAGAAGCCTAAAAAATGTGAAGGCAAACTTGTTGTTACTCCTGGGAGTCCGCACCGAACGTCATTGTCTCTGCAAAGGCAATCTGTGTCAAGGCCAGCGAGCGAGCCCACCTGACATCATCTGAACGTCATGCAAGCGGCACCATCCAGTCTGGCGAGTCTTACGCAATGCGTGGCAACATCACTCATCCTTGGGTGCAACTCAGCGCACCGGCTCCGGAATTGAGCATCATGACGCAACCCAGCGGCGGTTCCTGACTGGAGGAGTCTGACATCAAGGCCAGTGGCGCTTGTGATTGCATGTTGGTGACGTAAAGGTCCACCCGGTGCCTATAAAAAAAGCCAAGCGGCGTGTTGTCAGCAGCTGACCTAGGCGTCAGAGAGCAGCCGGCGTATGCATCAGAGAGAAGACACCTCATCGCTTAGAGTCCTCCCGCTGTCGGCGTGGCCGGTATCCTTGTAAGCAGTGGGTTTCATGGCGCCCTTCGTAACCTCAGCGGCTCATGCAGCTTATGCTGCATGAGGCCTTGTAACAGTGGATGGCAGCTGTGGGATCGGCTGGCGTCAGCGACATCGATGCGGTAAATGCCTGATGTTTTTCCCTCAGTTCACCAGAGTACTCTAGCACAGGTTATAGTAGTTTATAGAAGGGCTGTGTGAAGCATTAGAGTGAGCTTTGATCCTTTCATGCCAAGTTAGAGCACTTTGAAACCAAAGTTAATGCGGAGCGTGTGAACACGGCAGTTTTGAAAATTGCTTGTGCGTCTTGCTAGTCGACCTAAAGCGGGTGCTGCAAGTTGATTCGTAATAGGGGCAAACAGCAAGGGGCTAGTGTGAACGATCGAGAACGTTAATGTGAAGAAACTCATCTAAATTTGTGAGGAACTCGGCTTCATTCTCGGTTGCGCGAAACGAAAGCAAGCGATACATGAGATCATGAGGGATGC